TTGGTCGTGGTCATCAGTTACGATTCAGCACCTGCCCAGTCACCACTGAAGATGCCGTCAGCAAAGAATGGCGAAACGTTTGGAAGAGTAAAATTCCATGGACCACGGCCAAAAAGCCCGGAAGAAAACACAGTATCGAACTATCGGTATATTAATATTTTTTCCCAGAACTACATTGTACCGATTAACGCTAGGACACCCTATATTAGTTTATGAAATGATAAAATTTCTAGCTTCAAAAGCAATCGGAAACTGCCATTATGTTAAAAATTATCAATACATAAAAAATCGTTAAAGTACTACTAAAATAAAACAATTTTGTTTTCTATAAAAGTATCTTTACCTCGATCCAGTTACTAAAATATTGTTTACAGAAAAATGGCAGGAATTTATGGCAGCTTCTGCGATATCGTCCAGTTTTTCTACCAGGGTAAATGTAATACCCACATTTTCTGCCAGTCGCAGTTCATTCGCTGCAGTATTTTCAAAGGCACCTTGTAAAACTGTAGATAACTTAACTATTTGGGAGTCCAATGTTAAATTTCCGTTGACATCCCACACTAGTACTGATTTGTCGTTAGAACCTGTAGAACCTTAAATAATTATTAACAAATACACGTGCAACAGATTATCATGTATGCAATATCTTCAACTAAAAAAAGTAAAATAAACGGACATACGTATATGACATTAAAAATCAAAGTTATTATTCACCCTTGAGTAAATAGCACATTCAATTCAGAAATGTTTACAAGGTGGCGACTGGTGTGTAGGATATTAGGAGAACGTGTCTAGTCCCTGTTTTTTTTTTTACTAAAATTTCCTTACATTTCACCGGAAATTATTATGGCGAAAAAGGAAGACCTTTTTCTTTATTTATATGCAACTATTTTCAATAAATAAAGCAACCTTTAACAACAATAATTAATTAGGCGCAAAAATTAAATTACATTAGAAAAGTTAAGGTAAATGTATAGGTGAAGGCCCTCACCCCAAGTAGGATCGAAAGAGGAGGTCTCCCCCACCAGTTGTACCATAAAAAGTTCGTGGCGGTCTCACCCCCATAAAAAGTTATGGGGGGTAGAGGGGGGTTGAAATAGGGTGGTCATCTGAGTAAAACCCCATAAAAAATTTGCGGCGGTCTAATAAAAAGTTATGGGGATTGAAAGTTGATTATTTTGACAATTTTCATACACTATAATTCAATAAAAAAAATATTTTCAAGCGGGTGGAGATGGGGAATCGAAAGAGGGTGGTCACAAAACCCGATAACATAACCTAACCTAACCTAACCTAACCTACCCTATTGGTAAAGATATTTAAATTATGTCTTACTTAATAAAAATCCCCTATTCCCTAAGGTGGCTCTAAATTCCTAGGACTAGAGAAATTTCTCTAGGGTCTGGCAACGCTAACAATCGAATGTATTAGTCGTTAATTGGCATTTCTCTCCTTCTTACTTATTGTACAGTAATTTATCGAACAGGCCTCTAGTGAAGTATTTTGCTTTTGAGGAGGATCGCGTCACTGATTAATCAATTGTTGGACCTTAGTTCTCTAACTAAAGCTTTACACACACGTGTCTATGAGGGTATTCAAGTAGCTATTACGTAACGCAGTTTGGGGGAGGGGGTCTTATGAAATACTACGATGCATTACAGGGAGATGGGGGGTGAATTCCAATGGCGATTTACGTAACATTATGCTTTTGTAAAAGTAAAAAAATAACGCAATAAGTCGATGTTTTAGTAATTTTGTGGTACCTATTTTGCGCGACATAATTGACATTTTTAGAAGATTAAAAGATTAATATTATTAGTTTACTCGAATTTTGATCAAATTAGAGCATTAGGATATCTGTTATCTGCTCTTTCATGGTAGATCTGGACCGTAGTCACACTAAACATAATATTGTCATTTGAAAATGACTCGATGCACTGCATCTTGTACGGTTAATCGTAATGAGGGGTTAAAAGTTAAAATTCTAAAATTCAACTCTTAAATTTGTTCAAACATAAACCCCCACCCCCTTAAGTTAATTATAAATAGAATTTCTTGTAAATCAATGCAGTAGGTACAATATACTCACTGGAAAAAGGTTCAGTGTGGCGAAACTAAAGTCGTGATGAATAAAATCTCTTTAATATTGAACTCATCTCTATAATACTAAACTCTTGATGTAATATACCTACCCACGAGCCGCCACTGGTTTTCTGTATTAATATTTTATAGACAGATGAAGTTGACAATACCTTACTTTCAAAATTACTTAGTAACTTATTTATTGTAAGGGATAATGATAATCATAGATATAACAATCTATTTAAACATATTTACCTGACGCTAATAATAAACAGTCTTTTGATAAGGCAACGCAGTTTACGTAACGAACGTGGTCGCATAGGGTTTTGATACAAATCCCTTCGTTATCCCATATTTTAATTGTTTTGTCCATGCTACATGAAATTAATGTATCATCACAGTTACTGTACTTAACACATGTGACAGCCGATTCATGTCCATAAAATATTTTGATGTTTTCTATCACAGCAAATTTTACAGAGTTTTCACTTTTTAATGTTGTAAATGTTCTGATTCTCCATATTTTGATTTTCTTATTATTACCACAAGTCGCAAATGTGTAGTATTTAATTAACGGATTTTCTTCTAAAAAAATTATTAATCTAGGCAAAAACCGATCATATAGATGTGTACAATAAATTATAGAAGCTGTTTCTACAACAACAAACGCAATGAAATTAAAACTACATGCCTTTTCTAGCTGTGCACTAAAAGCTGCATTCTAATCGAGTTATTATATAGTTTTTACAAACACTTAAAAAAAATCAAAAGTTATCTAAATGCACTTTTATTACTTTTCCTTCTAAAATCATAATGGGAACCTGGTTGGCTTTTTTTATGTTTTTTCATGTTTTTGATTGTTGTAATATTCATTTATGTAAATGTAAATAAAAAGAACTCATTCTTGCATGTATTTCTGAAACACATTCGATCAAAGTGGCATTTGTTTATATTTATACGAAATTTGAGTTTTTGAAATATGCCGGAAGTACCTTTCTAATGTGTCATTCATGCCAGAATTAAGGATGTTTGGGAGGTACAATCGGAGACAAGAGTACATAAAATTAGAAATTCGTGATTAATTAGGTTTTGCAGCATATCATGAGGTAAATAATACTTTTGGCAGTGAATATGCCTTGATTTCAACTTCGAAACAAAAAAATATTTAGTTTCAAT